CAAGACTGTGGTTGCTGGGCATGCTGGATCTTCTCAAGGGTGAGTTTAGTTCCTAAGGGTTACAGGCTGTTTAACGTGGTTTCTGAGCCAGAGCCCTAATTCCTTCTCTCGTCTGAACTGAGCCTTGAGGGTCTTTGGCTTCTGGGTGAGGAGCTGAGAGCAGGCAGCTCTGTAGATGAGCAGCGACTCACAAGCACCAATGGTGGGCTGTGTAGATATAGTGCAGAGCTGCTCAGAGAGCTTCGAGTTGTGTCATGTTGCTGTGAAGAAGGAATCCTGATGGAGCTGAGTGTGTGAGATGAATCTGTAAATGTATGGAATGAGACGAATGTTCAAAAATGCCTTTCCTTGCACAGACGGTAGAGCTAAGCTGAGGAAATGTGGTGCATGGGTTGAAATAAGGCTTGTGAATATCTCCATTTTAACTGCTTTTTCCTGGCTTCATTGGCTTCTAATATTGTGTCTACTCTTGCTGCTGAAATGAAGCTGCTTCTTGGACAGGTATACAAGGCCTTGGGACCAAGATGACAAAGTTTCTGGCTCTTCTGCAGACCATAGTCACTTGCAGGGGAAGACAACTTAAGTTTCACTTTCTGGTCCCATTACTGTTTATGTTGTCCAGCAGCTCTGTTGCATGACGTACATGGGCAGGTCCAGAACAGTTTTGAAGAAGAACGTGGGGCTGTGCTGGGCACAGATAGGAAATGATGCACACTTTGCCAGTGAGTAGTAGACAGGTCATCAAGGTATTCCCTAGCTAGGTATAATTTCACCCGCATCCAGAGTTCAGAGGTACAACAAAGTTTTGGTGACATTGTTTTCCACCCATCAGCTGAGCCATTTAATATGTTTTATTTGGTTTAAGCCAAGATTATCATTGCAGGAGGAATATAGTAGTCGCAGAAATGAGCAGTTCTTATGTGCTTGCTTCTGTCCCTCTTTCTTCCCCATCAGAGGTGAATGTCCCAGAGCTGAGCTGGAGGAAGAGAATGTGTGGTATCCTTCATCTCTTCCATGTCAGTGCCATACACTGTAATTACAGTCACTGTTGATGGTGCTTTGAGGTTAACTGTGAAAACTTTGTGCAGATGCATATTAGGGAGCTCTCAAAAGTTTCATTCTACCTGGTGAGTTTTAAACCTTGATCACCTCCAATTGGTGATCACCTCCAGCCTGGGGAGCTACCATCTCTACTGCTCTAGCTAGGTCTGGAAGTAAATGCCTTTAGCTATATTTAAACAGTTCTAACAGTGCAAATTTTGGGTTAGTTTCCTCAAATATATGAGGAGTGTTCACTAACATGTTGCAGGTGCTTCACACCTTTAGACTTGCATCTTTAGGCTTGCATCTAGACAAAACCTGAGTGCTTATACAGAGATGGAGGAGCTGATCTCAGCCAGAGCTTCTATGTTATCACATAAGAACAAAATGCAATGGGAATTACATAAATGTAGGCGTATTTGTGGTCCTCTGACCTCACAGATGCCAGATGTGCTGATTTTGGAAAACTCTTCAAAGAGAACTTGAATTTGGCTTACATACTTCTCATTCATAGGAAAATCAAGACTATATATGTATTGTGTGTGTGTGTGTGTGTGTGTGTGTGTGTGTGTGTGTGTGTGTCTGTGTATAAAAATAAATATATTGATGTATTTGGGAATAGAACAGCTGTTTCTGCTTCTCCGTCATCTGCTTACTAAAGTGTTACAGGTTCTTTCCATTATGCTGGTGCTGTGGCTTAGGTCAGAGAAGAAAAGTATGCTACGGCCTTGGTAAATGATCACCCCATGGCTTTAGCCGTTTTCAGGATTACCTGACATATATATCAGACAGAATAATTATGTCATTGGTATCGTTCCCTTTCTTGTTTTTCAATATAAAAATGTAATTCCTTCTTTCCCCACATATGGAGTCATTTTCAGGTTTTAGTTCCAGATGTTTACAGATGAGCTCAAAATGAGTATCAGCTGGAATTTTAAAGATAGATATTTTCAAACCTTGCTGGGTCACAAGTTCTTCCAGTATTTTACTCAGAGAGAAATAGAGAGCTCTTTTTGCTTGTTTGGAGTCTTTTCTGCAGTTTTCTTTCTTTTTTAGTATCCCATTCTCAGCTTATTTTCCAGAAATAGCCATCTCCTCCTCTGTGGAGAAAATGAATTTTAATATGCCACACCACCATCCTCTCTTTCAAGAGCTTTGAGCGCTTTCACCATTTTTTCAAACAGTTGATGAAGCTGTAATTTATATTGTTGCAGTTGATAACTCTACTCCTTCAGAAAAACACAGTAACTTCTCTCTGAGGGCTGGTAGTTGTGCACTGGCTTGAGATGTGAACTGGTTTGTGAAGTTATCTCTGCGACTGTGGCTCACAGTCCTTTCAGTTGTGCTGATGCATCTGGTTTTAGAATTGAATCACTGAAATCACATTAATTGGGGGGAAAGTAATTTGAAAAGGGATCATCTCGGTGATGCAATTTACATCCCAGCTACACAAATACGTTTATCAGCACAATGGAGAAGGAGGCAGATTGCACCAGGAGGACCAGAATTAGCAGCTGGGGTAGAAAGCTCGTTGAGGGAAAATTGCCCAATTGTTGTTAGAGGAGCTGAGCTGTTTCCTTTGTGTTCTGTTGTTGTAGCTGCCTTCCTGCTCCACCTTCGCCCTCTTCCCCTATTTTAGGTCTATGCTATCTTTTTAGAAGTCCTTTGTCACAAAGTGGTGAAAACGTTCGTCTCCTGTGTGAAGGTGTTTAGTTTCCAGGTTGTTGTGACAGCAAGGTGACTTCTGCCTCCAGATGCAGCGATGGCAGTGGCTCTCTTGATTCTCCTCTAAGTCTTCTTTTGTGAAAGTTTAGAAGAAAAATGTGCTTAGATTGAGCTAATATTTATGTGTTAAAGGTCAGAGAATTTCACCTGGGTTACCTCTTTGTGGTGTGTGAGAGAAACGGCAGATAGCACTGTTTGCCATTAATTTGAGGACCAATTGAAAGTCGAGATTTTCCTTTGGTTGCAGCTTTAGGTGCCGTCCCATGCAGAGGACAGGGGTATGTGTCTGTGGTCTCTGTTAGTGTGAGGGTTTCACTCGTATCAGTGTTGCACAGCATCCTCTGCAACCTGACAGCTACCAAATTCCTTTACCTGTGGAAGATGATTCACACATCCTTGGTCTGACCGCTTTGAAGGTGATAAAATGGGACAAATAGACATGCAATAAGGCAAAAAAAGAAGCTTTGAAGTATTTCCTCCAAAACAAAATAGCTCTGGGGAGAAAAAACATTTCAGATATCGTTCTGTGACAGCGCTAGCCAGCATGCTGCAAGCACTTGAAAGGCAGGAGGTGCCCAAAGTGAAATACCATCTGTCTGTCATGGGGCTAATCAGAGACAGCAATTCTTCCTGAGCTTTTTCCTTGGAAAGTCTCCGAAAAAAAGAAACCCAAATCTCCTCTGTTTGAAGTTCTCTTAGCAGGCACCGTGTTTTGCTTGCTGTAGAACATGAACTCTGAGAATCTGGGTTTTGTGCTGGTATTTTACTGCCAAACATACAAAGCAGGAAATAAGCCCCCTCTCAAAGAAACCTGCCATGTGCACACCATTTCCACACTTCAGATGTTTTGCTGCAGTTTGTTTTGGGCTGCACTCTTCTTTTTGACTTTTTAATCTCTATTGAAAATTAGTTTCTTCCAAAAGGTTTTCTTTTATTTGCCAGCCGGTGTTTGAAAAGTGGGTTACATTTCAAACTATTGTTTTACAATATACCATCAAACATTTGAGAAGTGTCTTTGTTAAAGGTATCATCTTACATCGCTGTGTTTCTGAGAACAGTTTCATCTGCTTGCAGAATGTATTTTTTTTTTTCCTGCTACTCTGACATGAATATGGTTAAGCTGCCCTTAGACTGGTCCTTATGACTAAAACAGTGATTTGGGGAGGTTTTTTTCTCTTTTTTACTAATAGGGAATTGCTTGTGTACAGTTTTGTCATTTGTGTCCTCATAACAGATGAACGTGGGAGGAAAAGGCCACACATCTCTGTAAAAAGCAAGTTCTAACAGAAGCACACAATGGTGAAAGATAATAATACTTAGACAAATATCAACATTTTAGCTTCTTTTTCTTGTTAAAAAAGTACAGAGTTATAGAACTGACTCATCTTCATTCAAAAAGCCAGTGTATTTTCTAAATGGAAATTGGCCAAAGAGGTGTGAAAATGAACTGCGTCTGGCAGTTGGAAAAATTTGACAAATTCCTTTTTTGGTGGGTGTTTTGATTAATAACCTTAGCTGGAATTTAAAAAAAATAAAAGTTTGGCAAGGCCACTGACTCGCTTTGAAAACCACCGGAGAGCACAGTCAGAGGTTTGTTTGAAAACCAGTGGCAGTGATAAGGAGAAGTGACTTCTCCTCAGCTGTGGTTGCAGACTTCGTTCCCTGCAGTACGAGATCAGATGGGTTCATGTGAACGCTGCCAGGATTTCTCCTATCCATTGTGATTGACTCACCAAAGCAGTTAAACTCATTAAAGTTATATTTGTCAAGGACTTCCACGAGAAACACATACCCAACAAACAAACATAATTTGGTGAAGTTATTTAAATGTATCCTGTATTTAAAGTATTACAGGCTAAGTTGCTGTTGATTGAGATTGCTAGATAGGCCACAGTTAAATTAATTCTACATATATTTGCAATGGAAATCTGGGTCAGCATTTGCACTTTGCCATTATTCATTAAGTATTGCTGCAAGAGGAACTTATTCTCTCTTTTTAAGGTATTTCTTCCAATAAAAGTTATTTATTGTATCTGTATAGTTCTGAACTAGTTATGTTTGTATCAGTGCAGGTCAGAAGAGAGGGAAAGGCAAATGCAAGTTAGAGTTGAAACTCGTCTTAAATCCAATAGTCTTTCTTTGGTTTGGGTTTGCAGTAGCCACCTGAATCAATGAGAGCTGTTGGTCTGCTCATGTCTTGCATCTAATAGTTTTCTAAAATGTGTCATTTCTAGGTCTACAGACAAGACTGTGAAACCTTTGGCATGGTGGTGAAGATGCTCATTGACAAAGATCCGTCGTTAGAGAAGTCCATTCAGTTTGCCCTGAGGCAAAATTTGCATGAAATAGGTGAGCGGTGCATTGAAGAACTGAAACATTTCATTGCTCAGTACGATGCTGCCCATCAAGATCTATCAGAACCCTTCAAAGAGGGCTCATACTAAGGACACAAATATGCTTTTAGATCCTCTACCTTGTGTATGCCATCATACAGAAATTCTGCTTTTTGTGGGGGCAGAGATCTCGTCAGAGGTTTGAACCCAAGGCCTGCGCTCCTCCAGAGCAGCTCGGGTGGACACATCTTGTTCACAGTGGTCTCCACAACTGTTTTCTTCCTCCCTGTACTTGTTAACATACATTCCTGTGAAAGGATGTGCTTTTGAGAAATGCTGTTAAGTGACAAACTATTTTTGAAACCTTTACACAGTTACCTAGGAGAAAGATGCTCAGTCTGATGTATGTACTCTTACGCTTCAATGTTTGTAAGTGTAACTTCAAACACTGTATTTTTTATTAAAATAATGAGAAGCAGCTCTTCATTCCTCAACTTATGCAGAAATATGTCTTGTTTTCATGTATACTGTAAGAAGAGAAGACTTGCAAAATTGTTCCTAGCCATGATTTAAATTATTTTAGTTCCATTTTAAACTTCAGATTAATTCTGTAAAATTACACTAGGGGTTATCTCTAGTCTCTGACTGCCAGAGCAACTCTAACTACTTGATATAAGAAGTGCTATATTTTTATTCTAATTGCAGGATCTGCAAATGCCTTTTAAATTCTGGTATTTTCTGTATCACAAGTCATTATTAGTAAGCAGTATGATGAATTATGAAGGATTAATTCCTTTTTTGTTACTATCTGCTACTAAATGTTTCCTTCGTTATGTTGTTGACTACACGTTACAGAGTGTAACTGCAGGCAGCTACTGAGCAGGGAAAGATCCCTTCTCCGGCTGTCTCCCTCTACCCCCTTACGCCTTCTCACCACTTTTCATCCATCAGTTTTAAAATCAGGAGGTTGTGTGTACTCTCTACTTCCAACATCAAGAAGGAGCAGGAACTTGGGAAAGTGAGCAGGACCATCTGCTTAGTAACTCCAAGTTGCTTTGGATTAGGTGTGATGTGAAGTTGAACCCTAAGGCCCCACATTTGTCATCCTTTCAAACCTGGGTCATTCTGGGTAGCATCTGGAGCCACTTTTGACTTGATAGAGCAACTTGTAGTTGGCAAGCAGCGGTTGAGGAGAGTCAAGAGGCTGCCAGTGCTATGTGATTCCTTTTCAGAGGTGAAAAATATTTAGGGCTCTATTGGTGATGTCCTGACTGTTGGGTTGTGCGCAGCTTTACATTTAATAAGGTACTGGTTTTTATGAACGTTTTAGGAAAGGGATAATTTGAGTCATAATCACCAAGAGGTAAGTATAAGCATGATGGTTTTGTGTACATTTGCATTTAGAAACACGTGAAACTCTGTATAAGGACTAATGACTATAGCTCACTATTTCCAAACTCCACATTTTTTTTTTAAATGAAAAAGTCACTGAATTCAGCCCCTTATCAAGATAGCTGAAATAACCCCCCCACTCACTTCTAGCCCTCATTGATGTGCGGATACCTTTAAAAGAATAAAAAGGGAAGAAGAAAAGGAAGGAAAGGAGCATGGAAATTCAGTGCTACTGGTACTACCACTGGAGCGGTTCTGAACGGATCTGTAACCTCTCACTGGATGAGTTGGCAGGTCTGAGGGACAGCAGAAGCAGTTGGGGTGAAATCAGCAGTAAAACCACTACAGGCATGAAAGGAGCTGATGTCGTGTATCTGAGAAGGCCCAGTTCGTTGTGGCCCTGTTGTCTGTGCAGTTTCCTCTTCTGATGACGATAATATACTGCCCTAATATTTCTGTCATGAAGGTTGTACTGGGTTTGGCTGGGATTGAGTTAATTTTCTTCATAGTAGCTGGTACGGTGGTGCTGCGCTTTGGATTTGTGACGAAAACTGTGTTGACAACATGCAGATGTTTTTGTCATTGCCGAGCAGTGCTCACACGGAGTCAAGGCCTTTTGTGCTCCTCGCCCCACTCCACCAGTGAGCAGACTGAGGGTGGGCAAGAGGTTGGAAGGGGACACGGCTGGGACAGCTGACCCCAGCTGACCAAAGGGATATTCCAGACCATGTGATGTTGTGCTCAGCAATAAAATCGGGGTGGGAGGGGAGAGAGGTGGTGTAAGTTGGCTGGGGCTGCTATTGCTGAGAGACTGGCTTGGTATCAGTTTGCTTTGACAGGAAAGGGCCTCTACCCACTGCCAAAGCTCTCAGCTGAACCATGACAGTATAAAAATGGGTGGTGGGAGGGGGGAAGTGTCATTATTTCCATCCCTCATTTTGAAGTACCCAGAGCCCTCGCAGGAACAGAGAGGTCCCATTAACCCAGCAATGACACTTTTAGCCCTCAGTTATCCTTGGGTGTCGTGTAAGGGTGAGGGGGATGAGATACATCTTTGAACTCATTTATTTTGAGGTTTAGAGAGAGAGGTAGTGTCAAAGTTAGCTCTGAAGACAGATCTCTAAAGTGTGCCACTTACAAACTGTGTTGAACAGTTTGGGTTTTGTGTTGTTGGTTTTTTTTTAAATATTAGAAGCCACTAACGATCTGTGAACTTTTATCAACTAATACTCCCCAAGACATTGCATTTTGGGAGGGGACATACACTGTATCTCAGGAGATGGTATAAGATCAGAAGACCTACTGGTGGAGACAGTTCTCCATGAGGCAGTTACTGACTGCAAAAAGGACACAGCAGCAGCAAGCAGACAGAGCGTTTCGTTTTGGAGGCTCCTGGTTCCCCGTGTTTGGAAATGCAGGTGAGAACGGATGGTCCCAATCATGGTTTGAGCAAGTCAGCATCTCTCCTCGGGTCCTGGCAGCCTGGTTGTTGCAATACACTTATGCATGACAGGCGTCTGGCTGCTGGGAAAGCAAACGCTGCCTAAGCCAGGGCGGCAGCCCGCCAGCTGGAAGCAGCCCACGAGCCGCCCATTGGCCCCGGCGCTGTAGCATGATCCTCCTTTGATCAGCTCTCATGTACACAAGACTTGTTTGTACTGGAAAAGTGACTTCTACGGTGAATACCACCTCTGGGAGCAAAGGAGCTTTTGCTTATTTTACCCTGCAAAATACAAGCAAGTAACTGCTGGCTTGATTTAGCCTTAGCAATAGCTTCATTTTCTCTGGTGTAAGCCAATACCCATGTGTCCGTTCCCTCCCTTAGTTCTAGCTGCGTTTATCCCCAGACTTCTACATCCTCATGAATTACAAGCTTAGTTCAATTTGCCAGGCCTTTTTGGGGAAGAAGCAGCTGTTACTTCTTTACCTTCTTTCAGGTGGTCAGAAAGCCAACGGCTTTAGCATTTACTGTCTTAATTAGTGGGTGCCACTTAATTCAAGTAAAAAATTTCTGCCCTTTATTTAAAACACTGGAAGATTATGATAACTTAAAATAGCTCCTGCTCCACACACGAGTTCAACTTTTGAGATTAGCTACTATGGAGTCTTTTGCCAGCTTGCCTTGTAGAACCGCCCAGCATCTCTTCCTCTGCGCAGGCAACTTCCAGAAACTATTTTTGGAAGAGAAGGGGAACAATAGTAATAATAATAATAAAATCCACATCCACAGGAGTTGCATATTTGTTGTACTGATATATTCCAGGCTTGTGTGGTTTTTACATTTATATAGTTTACATTTCGCTTGACCCATAAATAACACTTGCAAGATTAAGAGGGCCATAGTTTAGAGAGTATTTACATAGCCCCACCATGCATACAGAGCTTTTAATACCTAGTAGACAAAATTACGCTGTTTTGCACTAAACATTTTTCAGTATTTTTCAACTTAAAACCCCTGACTAAAATACAAGCAGTATTTCATCCATAATGCTGCTGCTAAACCCCTAACAAATCTAGTTTGATATTGTAACAAACTTCTTCAAATTCAGGGATATAAAAATATTCAGCTTTTAAAATTTTAACTGTACAGTATGTACATTAGTATTTGCACTGTTAAATTATGAATACATTTAAGCCTATGAAATACTACATTATAAATATCAATGTTTTTTTGATTTAGAATTGCAGCTAATACATTTTTAAACCTGGATGATGCATTTGAAAAGACACAATTCTGGAGCCTAAGCCTTTAAGCCCTTACGAAAGTGTTTGTTACGTAAGTAGATTCATTGACTTAAATGGGGGGACGTGCCTGAGCAAGGGCCCCTGCCGCTGCACCTCTCACTGCTGCGGGGTGGGGGGCACGGCCTAAAAACCAGCACCACTCATTGGCAGCCGAGTCCAATTCCAGCAGCTGAATTAATATCTTCCTTTAAACAGGCACAAGAAAAACCCCACCACCAAACCAAACCCTTACAGCGGGATGGAATTCTTACCAAAAATGTAGAGGGGGAAAAAACATGGAAACTAAACGTATAAACCGTTCACTGCTGCTTTAGGAGATAGCAAGGCCTCTATATTTTTGCCTCTAAAGTGGACTCTTTGGAAAAAGACATTTTCACAAATTAAAAAAATCCAGTTTTTGTAGGGAAGCTGAAGGAGGAATAGTGAGCTTTATCAGTGAAGAAAGAGCACAGCATGGAGCCTTCTTTTTCTTGGCGCTAAGAGGAAAAAGTCAAAGATCACCCTATGTGGGTACAGCTACAGCACAGGACGGACAATTTTATTCACTGATCTTTGTTGACTCCCCTCTCTCTCAGGTAATTCAACATCATAGGTGAATAGCAAGCATAAAATAAAATGTCTACGAATAGTCTGTATCAGGAACTGCAGTAACAGTATTTTGACAGCTGAAACAATCTGTAAACCTAGCAATATCTGAGCAGATCATCGTTTGGCATGGTGACATTTCTGAACATTACTTGTACAATGTAAACTCTGGCAGGGTTATCATTTACACTGGCAAAGCATTAAGAACCTCAGCGACTTGCCTAAGTACAATTATTAATATAAAAAGATGTGGTTCAATCTGTAGCTACAGCGTTGACTGTTCTTCCCAACTGTTAAAACAAATTAAGAAATGATGCAATTTTTTCCTTTGTGTCCCCTCTTCTTCTTTGATTTGGTTGTCCTTTGTCCAAACTGAGAACTCGATAACG